TGATAAAAAAAAATCCAAGAGCAATGATAATATTCTCTATATCATTTCAATTTTATCAAATGTCTCTTAAGAAAAAAATCACTTCCTTCCTCTACAATATAAGAATAGGTGCACGAATTGCATCGCTAACGATGAAGTGACATAAAAGAGACATCATTCCCCTTGATGGAAATAATTATGCACACTTCCTCTCTTTTCCTTCTATCGTCGATGCGTATTGAGAGGAGGAGAATGCATCTGAAAGTTGCATTTGATTTAATTAGTACGAGTATCTTCTCCAAGTATAATTTGTTCAAGAATAAGAATGAGATACCGGATGATAGAAGGAAAAAAGAGGAAGTGTGCATAATTATTTCCATCAAGGGGAATGATGTCTCTTTTATGTACGATTTATATTGTAGGGTAAGAGAAGGAAACTCCCATCCCGATAAGACTCGTACTGTCTTGAAGCGGAGTAGGACTATGTTAGGAAAGCGATGATTAACCTTTGCTAGTGTCACAAGTGGATATGGTAAGATTTTATTGTCATATTGGAGATTGGACTATGTAGACTTGGAAAATATAGGCTCCACCTTTCCAAAGCACCATGACATTCTATACGCCATGTCGTCTAGAGTGGATCTATATGATCTCCGAAGACGATGATGTAGTACAAATGTACCAATACAAGGGAGTAGAGATCCTCGTTTATCGAAAGGTAAGTTTTATCATCAAGTATTCATAAGATACATACAGGTTTATCCCGGAGAGGGTTTTAATTCATGAAACGATCACAAAAAGGAGGCAAAACAAAACATGTCAAGGTTTTCGTAGATCAATCAAGGATGGACGCCCATGGAGAAGCTCAAATAAGAATCAATGAAGAATAAAAGAGCAGAACAATAGGAAGAGAATTTTCATAGTTTATTTTAGAGTCCACACCTACGAATATCCTTATTTAGAGATCCACAAAGAACCAAATGGTCATAGTTCAATCTAAGATTTACCCCAAATAGGGATCAACGAAGAACAAAAAGTATACGACTTCATAGTTAAATCTAGGGTTTTCACTTGTTCACGAAGCAATAAAGAACAAAAGAACAACAACCCGATCACGATCGAAGAACGAAAGAATCTATCATCCGATCACGCTAATCTTTTTATATCATTTCAATTTTATCATATGTCTGAAAAAAGCAACCATTTTTCCTCCTCTGCAATATCAGAATAGATGCAGCGATCCCGTCACCAGCGATGTGGGACTATGCTCTTACCGCGTGCCCAAATCTGAACCGTCGTTTTGCCGTGCGAACGGCATCTGTTCGAGTGATCGACTGCATCCTACTCGAACAATCCCCAAACGCATCCAAGCCGTCCTTTCTCATCCGCCCAGATCATAAAGCTTGGTTGACTTGGTTGAGCAAGCTTCGATGCACAGCTTTGGGCTGGGCTTCTAACACGTATCTAGGGTGGTAGCTCCTCTGCCACTGCGCGATCCTCCACTGCTCCTCCTCTCTCGACAGATGATCACCGTAGGGAGAAGCCAGGAAAGACTGCCTTGAGGTGTACCTCAGATCCATCCTCATGGTCGCGTCGCCGTAGTTGTGGAAGCTGTAGGGATGATGCTGATGATGATGAAGATGAGGTTGGTAGCCGGCGGAAGGCCTCGGCAAGGGGCGGTACGGCGTTGGGTGCAAGGGCGGCACGTACTGCGCTCTGGCCGCCTGCATGTACGAGTGATGGGGGTGCATATATGGGGTGGACGGCAGCATGGGCACCGCTGGTACCTGCATGCCGTAGAACTCCGCCTCGTGCTCCGCTCTCTTGGCGGCGGTGGCCGTTCTGGTGGCCGCCCAGGGCTTGCCCGCTCGTGAACATCCGGTCACAGTACTGTCACTTGAACGTCCTTTTCTCATCCTCTTTGTTACAATATCCCCAACTCAATTAGCTTGACGTCCTCGTCAAGGCCCAACATATCCCAGATCGAACCCTAGCATAGTCCATGCTACCAAATACTAGGCTGGCTCTGATACCAAATATCACGACCCGAGTCTAATGAGCTAACTGGCCAATAACTCCATTTTGGTCCTTCAATCGCGGA